CAACTTGATTTTGCCATCTAGGAATAGAGAACAAATGAATAGTTCATAGGAACATTCTTTTTAAGTATTTTGCTCAATACGAACGGAATATTCGAAGTTGATTGTGTTATCTATGAAGAGACAAGAGATGAATAGTTCATAGGAGCGTTTTATTCAAATATCTTGCTCGATTGGAACCATAGATTTTGAGTTGATTTTGTTATTTATGAATAGGCAACAAATGAATTACTTAGACCAACATTCTATTCAAACATTTTCCCCACTTTGTAGCAAACATTTAGAGGCACTAATATAGATGAAAACCAGGTGGGAAATGAACGCTTTATAGGTGGAGAGTTGTATTCAAATATTTTGCGTCAGTCTAATCAAAGAATTGGAGATAGTTTTGTTATCTACGAAGAACCAACAAATGAATAATTCAAACAAAAACTGTGATCAAATATTTTGTTCGATTTGAACGAAAGATTTCGAGTTGATTTTGTTAGCTACAAATAGACAACATGTGAATGGGTCATAACAATATTTTTCATTCAAATGTTTTGCTCGATTCGAACCAAAGATTTGGAATTAATTTTTTTTTCTACAAGTAGACAAGAAATGAGTAGGTCATAGCAACATTTTGTTCAAATATTTTGCTCTTCTTGAATCTAACTGTTAGAGGTAATGATATCGATGGAAATCAGATGGGAAATAAATGCTTTGTACCTTTACAGTTCTATTGAAATATTTTGTTCCATTGGAGCCAAAATTTGCAGTTGAATTTGTTCTTTACGAACAGACAATAAATGAATAGGTTATATAAACATTCTATTCAAAGATTTTGCTCACTTTGAAGCCAATGCTAGAGGTAGTGATATTGGTAGGAGTCCGATGGGAAATAAACACTTTGTATCATCAGGGTTCTATTGATATATTTTCTTTCATTGGAACCAAAGATTTGGAGTTGATTTTGTTCTCTACAAACAGACAGCAAATAAATCCGTCATATAAACATTTTAGTCAAAGATTTTGCTCACTTTGAAGGGAACCCTTGAAGGTAATGATATTGATGGGAATCAGATGGCAACTAAACGCATTGTACCTTTATAGTTCTATTGAAACATTTTATTCCATTGGAACTAAAAATTTGGAATTGATTTTGTCATCTACAAACAGACATCAAGTAAATAATGCAAACCAATATTCTATTCAAATATTTTGCTCACTTTGAAGCCCACTGGTAGTAGTAATGATATCGTTGGGAATCATATGGGAAATAAACGTTTTGCACCTTTATGGTTCTAGTGAAATATTTTATTCCATTGGAACCAAAGATTTGGAGTTGATTTTATCATCTACGAGCAGCTACCAAGTGAATAATACAAACCAATATTCTATTCAAACATTTTGCTCACTTTGAAGCCCACTGCTAGTGGTAGTGCTATCGATGGGAATCATATGGGAAATAAACGTTTTGCACCTTTACGGTTCTAGTGAAATATTTTATTCCATTGGAAGTAAAGATTTGGAGTTGATTTTATCATATACGAGCAGCTAGCAAGTGAATAATACAAACCAATATTCTATTCAAACATTTTGCTCACTTTGAAGCCCACTGCTAGTGGTAGTGATATCGATAGCAATCATATGGGAAATAAACGCTTTGTATCGGCAGGGTTCTATTGAAATATTTTGTTCCATTGGAATTAAAGATTTGAAATTGATTATGTTCTCTACGAACAGATAACAAATGAATAGATCATAACAACATTTTATTCAAACATTTTGAGCACTTTGAAACCAACTTGTAGAGGTAGTAATATCGATGAAAATTAGATACGAAATAAACGCTTCGTGCAGTATCAGGGTTCTATTGAAATATTTTATTCCGTTCGAACGAAAGATTTGCAGTTAATTTTATTATGTACGAACAGGCATCAAGCGAATAATGCCAACCAATCTTCTATTCAAACATTTTGCTTATTTTGAAGGCAATTTTTACAGGTACTGATATAGATGGGAATGAGATGAGATATGAATGCTTTATAGCTTGAGAGTTCTATTCGAATACTGTGGTGTATGTGGTATAAGAGGCACGTGTTTTGTTTTTGGTAGAAAGTACTGTATGTATGTTGATCCGCGCGTGCCTGTGGCATGTTGATTATTGCTGTCATCGCCGATAAAAGGAACAAACAAACCATCTGCCTGTTCTTCTGCATTGTCGGTTGATGCTTTTCGAGCTTGAAGTGAGAATGTAAATGAAAATAAGTAAGTATGGAAGTTGTATGTCGTGTAGTTGTTCTACTCCTGTAGTATGAGAATATTGGATTGATATGAGAAGAACACCGGCGCGCTTGTGTTTTTATATGTAGCAGGCAGTGACTGGGAATTTTCCAGTCCCGAGGGTGAGTTTCCCACTTAGTAGGGCGAGTCTCTGGCTTACTAGGGTGAATTTCCCACTCAGTAGGATGAATTTCTCACTTACTAGGGTGAATTTCCCTCTATCTTTGGGAATTCTCCATGTACAGGTGAGAATCTCCCATTCACAGGCGCGAATTTCCCATCACCACTGGGAATTCCTCATATACTAGTGGGAACTTCTCGCGTGCCATCGGGAATTTCCCATGATCACGGCGATAACTGAGGACTGTCCGTGTTGTAATCGGTAACAGTAGAAAATAGGCCAAGCTCCGTCTACGATTTCCTACCAGCCGGTCTAGAATTTTAAAAATTTTTTGCTTATTTGTGCATCATTTTCTTGCCAAAATTGAATATAGAAGTGTTTATTTTTGAATATCAAACTACTTTTACTGGTATTCATGACAATTTCTATGGAAAAACATGGATTAGGCTGTTTATATTTAGTCAATATTCATCGAAATATACTTCTTATATTTTATCATTTGCATTATTTATATTACGTCCCTCCGTTACAGGTCTAGCGGAAAGCTTCATAAGTTTCCACTCTGCTATCAACACGTGTCTAAGAGTGGAGTAAAGTGAATCATTCGATCTTTGTTGTCAGACAATCTTATGAGATGAGCAAAAAATAATGTGCTTCCGACAAGTTTTAACACTAGACTCTGCATGACTAAGAATTGGCGAAGAATAGCTTTGATCTAGTCTATAAGTCAGTTAAAGTACGGATTACTTACTGTTCTCTTTAGAAAACTGTATTGTGCAAATCACAAGCCATGCCGAAAATGAAAGCCAGCATGCCAGAAAAACTGTCAAGCCGTTGTGGACATCCAAATCTCTGTCAGCAAACTAAAAGAGCATCAAAAGGCAGATTTCTCACGATTTTTAGAATCAGATATGGTGATAGGACTACCTTTCTTATGATATTCATCAATATCTATTGATAATAACGTGTCAGAAAGGCTACTGAGTGGTGAAACCGAAGTCTTGAGTGATTTTTGTAATAATTCAGAGATAAGTATCACTCATATACAAGATGAAAACTCTACGTTGACTCATGCCGGTTGCAACACTCAGGATTGTAAGTAAGCGCGGTCAGTGAGGAAGTTTATCTAATGGATTTTTGTATTTGGATAAACGTGAAATGATCGAATCTTGCTCTTGAATAGTAGTCGGTGCCTCTAACCAATAATAAAAGTCTTAAGTAGTACTAATAAGCGATTTTTACGTGCAATAAAAAAAGTTCAAGCCGCTATTCCCGACTCTCGATTCTCAGCAAAACATGTTCTGATTACTTTTCCTTGATTTCGTCTGGTTTTTTAAACAATTTTCTTCATCTGCTTCAGGAAGCTCCATACTGTGAAATTCGTCGAAGAATACGACCAAGTCAGCGATGAATATCAAAAAGAGCTACTACTACTACTACGCAGAAGAGCATACCAGAACCGATTTCGTCCTTGCTCAAGGAACTTCATAGGAATGATTTAAGATATTTTAATTCGATTACAATTAAGAATCAAATTAAAACATCATCTATACTGTTGTACGAAAGAAATTTTTTGACAACATGTGGAGGATGTGGGTATGGGTATGTAATTAGAATGTACACCGTACCACGACAACAGTTATCTCTGCCTTGACGAACGATCATCAAGTGGTATCTTTATATTATATCTAGGTAGACGTGTAATTCATAAAGATGTTCAACTTTAACATATAATCATGAACGACTATATAGAAATCAATATCTATTCTAAGCAAAAATGTTTTGAACAAATATCAAGTATTTCTATTCATCTATGGGTGTGAGTGGAAACTTTGATCTAAAATAAATACATGAAGGAGAGAACATTTTCGATTACATCTGTTTATCTGGATACCTTTTACATGGATAACAAATTCATGATGATGATGATTGAAATCGCGCTTGCATGTGGTTGACGTTGTTTTCTGAGCGTTTTCTCTTTTGATTATTTTGTTGAGCGTCTAATGTATTTAGGAAAAATTTGTTGTGTTTGAGTTATATTTATCGCATAATGTTTCATATCTAGAACATTTGAAGAGTTAAAATAACATGTAAGTCTACAAAAAGAAGGAGGTATGATGAGATCGTATGGTATACAGATTTAGGATTCCATTTTATCAATCGGAATATGTACAATGAAAAATTCACAATAAAAACTAAGAATGTCATGTCATTACCTTTCACATGCTGTTGTCGGTTCGCTCGTATCATTCATTATTGGTTAGTAGGTCACGAGAGGATTTCTTCAGTACCAATAAATGATCCAATGTTTCGTTGGTTCGAGTTTCTAGTATGAGACGAACATTGTTCAATGTTGAGTTTTCATAGTAAAAATGTTCCTCTCATAATTTTCTAAATTCATGCCTGAATGTTTTTATCAGTCCACTTTCAAATCGATAATGTATAATGAGTTCTGTTTGTTTTTTTGTAACGTTGCCATTCTTGTTGTTGTTCTACTTGGTCCGATGATTCAATACAAATGTCGAATTCTTTAAGTAATTTATTATGAAATTTGTGATATGCTTCTGCGTGTGAATCTTTGTAGATAGATAAAACATCATTGTTTTTGAAAAATTGCCTAAAATGGATCTTTAAGAAAAGCAACAATTTTTGTTGGCATATGAACTGGCAAAGCTAGAAGAAATTTTTAATAATTAATATTCTATAATATAAGGACAAAAGGTTTCGAAACGAAACATTTTTGATTTTGACGGTAATACATAGAACAAATTGGAGAAAATATTTGACTATCTGGAAATGCTTCTTATAAGGATAGATACTTATTCAAAGTCTTTGGAAAAGTAAGACTTTTCTAACTGATCTTCAGGATTCTATTTAAAATATTTTGCAAACAAGTTTATCTGATATAGAGAAGATTTTCGAATAAAATGATAATCGTTGTATGCTAGCTCTAAAGAGCTGTTTGCTATTGTTTTAGAACTAAAAGCTTTTCGTAGAACGAGTACAATCCTCTGACAACAGCTGGTGAGTATCTTTTTTTCTTTCGAGATGTTTTCTCTCCTAGATAAATTTGTTTGCAAAATATTTTAAATAGAATCTCGAAGATCGGTTAGAAAAGTCTTGCTTTTCCAAAGACTTTGACAAGTACTTATTCTGATAAGAAATTGTTTTATCTAATGAAGTCTTCTGTTAAGGAGAAGAATCAAAAATAGTATGTTTTAAAACTTTTTGCCTTGATTTTACGTTTTATTAAATCCATATGAAGTGTTGCCGTAGAAAAGACCACTTGAATATATCGATTATGAAAAAGTATTTGAACAGCTACTCGATCTTTATTATCTAATCCAGCATGATGATCCTCCTAAATATTTTATTCGTTTTGATTTTTTTCCGACTTTTTTCAATTGTTGCTAAAAGTTTGTTTAATTATTCAATTTGATTTTAATATTTTGTTTCTCTTAAATCTCTTTGTAAATTTTCAAAATATTTAGGAAGACTTGTTTGTAGTCAAATTTTCATATAATAATCGATTATCCGAAAAAAGAAAACAAGATAGAAGATTTTTTTTTCGTTTAATCTTAATATAAAATCAATAATTAATAATAATGTTGCTTTTTATTCAAGATAATAAACATCATTTTGAAGTAATTCGTTTAATAAATGTTATAACCGAATCAATAATTCAATTTTTTTTAATTAACAATAAAACTATTGAACTGATTAGAAACAAGTTGGAAATAATGATTGGATTTATTTCGTTCAATTATGCAATATGGTAACAATATATTGTGTTAATAAACATCTCAGATTAGTTTTATTTGTTAACATATCTATAAAAATTCAGCAACTATTCTTGAAATAGCTTGATCACTCTTACTCTAAAACAAAACCAATCGTTACATCAAATACTTTTAAACATTATGAAGTTCTTCGAATATCTAGGGGCTATAGTGGATAGATTGTTATTAAATTTTCAATCCGATAGACTGATATGTTTGCGAGATATTCAACAAACAAGATGCAAAATTCTCTGTAGAGCTTCATTCCATATAGTCGACTTTGTTTTAGTTGCAAGAATATGACATAGTTTTTTCTTTTAAACTCTTAATTTTTTGCACAGAGAAAAATGAATGAAAAGTTCATTGTTTCAAAAGACTGAAAAAATGGTATTAGAATTATAAAACGAGATTTTATATAATAGTTTTCATGGTTGATAGAATCCACGGAATGAATATTTAACAGCATTAGCATTCTATATCACATATTTGCCTTTAGTCATAATTGAATTGCCGTGAATGGCCAAGTGACTGTAAGCAGAAATAGCGCAGTTTTTCAAAGGACATCTGACAAAAACGTGTGCGTTTTTTTAATTTGTCTGTTAAACTTCTTGATGAAAATTTTCGAGATTATTAGAATTCTATAGCATACTCGATGGTTTACAAGGCACATGCTCTTGATCTATATTAACATAAACTGACCGTTGAATATTAGGAGAAAAATTCGAATTTGCTGTTACCTTCATCGGCATGCTCAAATCATATTCTGTTAGTATATATGAAGAGATAGAAATTCTCTTGGTAGATTTTCTCGCATATCCTATTTATGGATAGACACCAATATTAATATAGGAGTATTTTACATTGTTTTTTAAATAAAATCTGTTTAGGAGTTTTTTATTCAATACTCAATGTAGACTTAGATTATATTGATTGATAAGATATTCATACGATAATTTTATTCGAAAGTTTCATAAGATGATTATGAAAAATGTTTAGGAAGATCTCGTCTTATTATTTGTTTTCTATTGATTAAAATTAATTGGATGATTTGGATTTTCATCTTTTAAATAATTTAAATCGTTGATTTTCAACATTTTCAATTCAACGACATAATTCATTTCTATTATTAACTCTTGATCAAAGATCGATCATAGGACAATTAATAAGTAACTTTGGTTTTTTTTTCATAGATCAGATCGAATATCATCAGACATAGAATGAATTTCATCAAAAATAGCATTTTTTTAAAATTCTTTGACATCAACGTTTATGACTAGCCAATAGAAGAATTATTTCCATAGATTCTTGAATAGGAACTAATATTTGATATCCATCCATATTTCTACGATAATCTAGTGTAAAAATTCCAAATAGCAGACCAAATTAATAATGAACTCTAGCTAAAATACATTCATAGATTGATTTTAAAATAGAAGAAAAAAAAAGTAAATGATAATATCATAAACTTTATAAACAAATCCTTTTCTTAGTCTTTTATATACATAAATACTATTTGAATCATCTCGATCTTTGACTAGTTTATTCATAGGATAATATAATGCATAACTTTGACCTATATTTTATATAATCAATAAAAAAAAAAAGAATTAACATGAATTCTAATTGATTGTCGTTTATGAAGAGCATCAAGAAATTGAGTTTGCCAATTATCTTGAATAAAAAAAGGTTGTCGACAATCAGATATATCTTGTTCACGTCCTGCTAATCGACTATTGATATTTTCTATTTGAAATCGATAGAATATTTATTGATCTAATTGATGAATTATCAATAAGTTCTTTCATAGATTTATTATTTTCATTAAATAGATCAACAATATTTCCAAGATGATCGATTTCAGTCATCGGAAGAAATTAATCTTTCGAGATATTTTCGTTTAAGTTATTCATGATGATTTCTAGATGTTTTAAATAATAATAAATTTTAATAAATCTTCAAAATCCAAAACGTTGATCAATTCTCATCTATAATAGATTTATCTATTTTTCTTTGTTTATTTTATTCGACAATTTTTTCAGATGAACCTTTTTTCATTGACTTTTTTCTTATAAAGAGATGCAGAATTCATATATTTTAGTAAGAGGAAGAACAATTTCTGGTTGATTATCTCTGATATCACGACTTGTCAATGATTTACCATACAAAGTTAACTAGAACTATAACAAACAAATTTATTTTCATAGTTCAAAAAACAAAACAATGGAAAATTGTTAGTATTTCAATAAATATATCGCAGAATATTCAATTATAGTCGTAGGAATTTAATGGGTTTATTATTCGAGGATGTAGGTGGTTTGGATTCTCTTCACATTCACACCCTCTCTACATCAGATGACATTTTTCGGTATTTATAATACAGCAAATTCTAATGGTTTGCAATGGTATCTATCAACCGAAGCAAATTGAGCATTTTCTAGGATAAACTTTGTTCTACAAACTAGTATATAAGAAGACTTTATTATAATTTAATTGAGGCGGTTTTAATCAAAATAGAAAAATGTCCTACATGAAAAATTTTGTACAAACGTTGTTTTTAGTTTCCATTAAAGATTTGTTCTTAATGAATCAACTTTAAGTCAGAAGAAAATTCTGAATATATATTTCAAAAGAACACAAAATTTTTATTCTAACTGATTACTCTTGATTCTCTTCTATGACCTTTAAGTGCACGAGAATCGAACAGATATTTTGTACGAAGACTTTCTTGACAGAGGTTATTATATGAAATGTGTTTAAAAGAAGTTTTTCTTAAATATTAAATTGACAAACTTACTTGTATATGAAAGATCATGATTATAATTGATGATGAATATATCAACTTTTGTTGCTGTATTTATTGATATATTAATACTTCGAAAAAGAAAAATCAAATAAAAAAAAAAATATTAATATTAAGTATAGTATTACACGTACGTGTTAGTATCAATCATATAAATAATTTATTGAATAATATCTGAAACTTGTTCACATAATTCCATTTGCATCTAAAATAAATGAATAAACTACATTTAAAAAATTTTTTTTTTAATGCTTATTCAATAGATGATCAAAGACGCAAAGTTGTAGAATGATAGGAAGTTTCTTATTTCTAACTAGATAAATAGAAGCGTTGATGACAACGAATGAGAAAAAATCTATTTCTTTTTAAATTCAAGAACGTATTTCACTACATTTTTTGTATTTCAATTTTAATATCAGATTAAAATATATAGTTCTAAATGTTAGTAAAATTCAAAGTTAAATTCGTTGTTTTAATCGTATAATCAATGCTATATGATGAATAATTTTTTTTAAAATTTCTTATTGTTTTCGCTGTAGATATTAATACTCTCTAGAAGAAAAAAGTATAAAAGAATATTACTAAATAAAAATGGCGAACTTACTCATAAAATCAACCCACAAATTGAAAATAAAATAAAATGAGTTGACAAACAAATGGGAATGTTCGATCTTCTTTTCTAATTAACAATAATTGAGAATGATGAGTCATGAAAAATTTTCTAACATATACAAGAATTGTGTCAAGTTAAAAGTTTTTAGAATAACTTTCTTTATATAGATAAGCAACGACGATCCTGAATTTAATTTAGAAGTTTTATTTCATTGATGATTGTTATGAATATAATATTATTATTCACTGATAAATAAAGGAGTTAGGCAAAATCATTTTCAAAGACAAATATAGATTAGAGCAATTTCATCTAATAAAATCAAAAAATAAAATTATAATAATTGATTATATATGCTTAAAAAATTAAAAGCTTTATAAATTATTTATGTAGTATAATTATTTCTATGATATATATAAGATAAAATCATAAGTTTTTGGTCCAACTAGAGTTTGTCAAAGGTATAGGAATTGTTGTGCGAACATTATTTGATTCAGTTGTTGGTGACGCTACTGGTATGTTTTCAAAAATAAATGATATACTTGGAAAGAGTTTGGCTACATTATTATCTGATGAAGATTATAGAGTTTCCTGTGTAAGACAAAAAGAGCAGCAGCTAGAGCAACGACTCGTATTGTTCTATGAGGAAAAAATGTTATTAAAGGTATGTTGACACTATTTGATTTTATTTTATTATAAAGGGTTCCGTCGGTGATATGAAAAGGATTCTAATTAAACTGATATTAGGTGTGAAAAAAAGCTGGTGTCTTCTGGGTTTGTGGAAGGTTTAGGAAAAGTCTTTATTGGTCTTGTTAGAAAACTAACAGGTGAAATTTTACAACTACTTGATTGCATTTAATTAAGTGGCAAAAAATAAAAGTTGTTTTTTTTTAAATTATCAAATAAACTGTATAATAAGAATAATTACTGAATCGTTTTCGTTTATCGATGTCATACTGGTTATGATAATCTGATTTGACCTCATATATCTGATAAAGCGATAGGATTTTTTATTTTAAATGTAAGTATATTTTTCTGTTAAAAAAAACGTAATCTATTATTTTGTTTTGAGTTATTTCGTAGAGATTAGACGAAGGAAAATATGTAAAATTATATATATAACTTGTTGAGAAAGTCTACCATCTAAGTTAATAGCTAAATCGAATATTTTCTTTTATTTGTATTTTTAAGGAATCGAAGAAAATCAGAACACTTGTGTCAACACTTTCTCATGCTAAAATAGTCAAATATCGAAACACAATTGAAATAAAAGTAAAATTATTTTCGTTTTTTGTTTTTGTTTTACATTAGTACATTGTTGAAAAAACAATCATTTGGTCAGTAAAAAATTATTCCGTAGATTTTTCTCTATTTACTCTAGGTTTTTTTCCTTTCTATATAATGCTGGAGATGATTTAAAGGTAGACTCGAGGAGGAAACAACTGAGACTTCGGTTTTGAAATCCAATGAAGTTTTGAAGACTTGTGAAGTCCTCTGGAATTTTTGACGTACCTTTAGTGCATGGAAAATTTATAAGAAAACCAATGATGATCTTATTTCAGCAAAAATGTGAGCATTTATTGTTTTTTCAATCTGCTCGAAAGTTCCGAGCTTGTTTCAACTTGAAGTTCCTTAAAAAAAGTCACTTTTCGTCAGAATGGTTGAAATTAAGACAAAATCCATAGAAAGATAGCTCGTGATCTGATCTTTCATAAGCATCAAAAATTTTTACTCTGTACCTCGTTTTTTCCAAAAAATTTTGAAGATTTCTGTTATCCCCTATTCGAAAAATAAGCTATTTTCAGAGAAAACAGAAAGTCTTTTTCGTTTTTTCTGCGTTTATTATTTCTTAATCGTGCAAACCAAATTTCTCTGTTGATACTGATTCGATGTATTTTATTTTATTTTTGTTTGAAAGAACACCTCAAAATACAATGCAGTACGGAGCCTCTTTTTTGATTAAGCTTTGCTTTTACTATATATAGAAACATTTATAAAATTAGACCACCATTTTTACTGTTTTTTCAGTTATTGAACTTTCGATCCCTTTTCACGCCTTAAAAAGTAAGAATTAGAAAAAAAGGATTCTGTAATGCACTACATCTTGATGTGCTCTTTCAAACAAAAAAAAGTTAATTATGTACAATGAACCTGGACAGAGAAATTTAGTTTGCCAAATGAGCAATTTTTTTACCCTTGTTTGGTCAGTATCTCTCTCAAACATCATGATATCGGGTCAAAAATTGTACCAGAGCTTCTCCACTACAGTCCCAATATATCCTGAAAATTTCATGGAATTTGAACGTTCCTAGACTGAGATCGATTTTCGAGGGAGGGGGGCTTTAAAGAAGAATCGTAGTTTATAGTTCAATTCTTTTCAATGAACTTGTTTTTTTTTTTATAAGAAATGCTCCATCAATTCAATATCAATGTTATGAAGAATTTTAATCCCGTTTATTTGTTTCTATCACGCATGTAAGCCTATCAGACGATAAACAGCTAACTTTATCGGTCAATAACTAACAGGTCGTTTGCTTATGTATAACTTTAGCCTCTAATTTTCTTTACAATTGCTTCAAAAGACAGAAAATTTGTTGTACCTGTGAAAAAGCTGCTTTTAATAGGAAGATTTTGTGTAGAGTCATGGTTTACATTTAATAGCATCATCTTAATATGTTTCAATGTTAAATGTGTCATAGAGAAGATTTTCAAAAGGAAAAGAAATTCTTTTTTTAAATTTGTCTAATTGATAATGAGTTTTGCATAACACAGAAATTCGATGCAATTTCTAAGGCTTTTCAAATGTTCATATAGTCTTGAAGTCTGACGAAGTCTTATGAAGTTCCATGAAGTCTCCTAAAGTCTTAAGAAATCTCATAAAGTCAGACGAAGCCTTGGAAGTCCGGTGTTTCACCTCGGGTAGACATTAACAGAATATTGATTGTATTAATAGTATTAAATTTTGCAAAGTTCATCTAATGTCTTTCTGTCTTATTGTTCAATCCATAAATTCTCAATGGATATGCAATGAATAAATATATTGATTCAAAATTTGATATCAATCATTTTGATTTTAATCAATAGTTCAATCTTTTAATAATATGAATAATAAATTGTAGTTTAATAAAAATGTAGAAGAATTCTATGTCTGTGTTAAGTATCTTACTATATTAGATTATTTTCTTTTCTCTTTTACATAAAAATGAATATAATCAGAATAATTAATTTATCGAATTTATTTATAATTGTCTATTTCTATTCAAAATTGAATAACATGCATAATAATTATTTGGTGAAAATTTATGCAGATAAAGAAAGAAGTTAAATATGTTGATTTTTTTTTAATATCTACACCATAATATATATCCAAAGATTTAATAACAAATAAATTCATTTCTTTTATTAACCATGTTATATCGTATAATAGAATTAGAAAGTGATGGAAAACTATAACATTTACAAGATCATAAATCTAATGACAATGATGGAAATCATCCATAAATCATGTTCGATGAAAAGGGAAAGTTTCTAAAAAAAAACTCGACATTGTTGAAAAGTAGGTGGAGTACTGTAGGGTGTGGGTGTGGGTGAAATAAATATCCATGCATACACCCACATCCACACCCTCATATATGTTTTAAATCGCATTTAACTTACTAAGTGTTTTAGTGAAAGTTGTCAATATATACGCGATTGATAATTACGTATTAATTGTATGGTTATGGTAAAGACATCTACTAGTAAAAGAATTGATTTTCTACTTTCGTAGAGAGAGTGCGAGGAAAAAGATAATATTTACAACATAATCGCGTAAGAAAAAAGAATTATTATTTTTTTTTCTATTGTTGGTGTGAAAAGCTAACTTTTCATGAGCTATCTAATGTACATATTTTCAAGAAAAAACTTTTTTCCGTAAGACGATGACGATTTTTTACAAATGCTTATAAATAAAAAGTTGAAAGTACTGATGAGTTATTCAAAGATAAGTTTTATTGATATGTAATGACTTGTTATGTTAGATAGTTGTAAACTTAATTTTCATTAGAGAATTAGTAAAACCGTTAGGATTAAAATAAATTTATCAATCTTTCTCAAGCAAATTATTGTTCTAGTTTATAGACAATTCGATTTCTTATTTTGTAAAACAAAGATCTTTTGCAGAATTTTATTCAAGAAATTGTTTTTTACTTATAAATTAGTTAAATAGAATTGCTAGTACTCAAATATTTATAGCTAAAAATGGTAAAATGCCGAAAGGCAGAAAATATATATCGTGCCAATTTAGCAAAGGATAAATTAATATTTGAACAAACGAAGGAAAAATCTCGAATGGAAATGTGTGAGTGTAGGGATAAATCTTCCCTTTACTGACACCCGCTTTTGTCTATTAACGATAAATGTCCGTAGATGATATATGAAAAAGAAATGGTCATAGTTTATTTATGAAGTTGTTGGTGGTGAAGCAAACTTGCCACTAAATAAAACAATATTTTGCCGAGTTTCACGAATGAAAAATAAAAATGGTCGGTCAGCTTTGAATTCAATAGGCTGTTCTTCCTCCACTATGAATGCACAACAACGGGTCATAATAACAGCTGTGGCTGCTGCTGCTTCTGAACCTAAATAAAATTATTAAAAAAAAAAATTGAAAAATCTTCAATTATGACTTAATATCGATATCAAAGATTTATCAAGAAGTTTTACTAATTTTTCATACTAATGTATAACGAAGGATGAATTTAATCTTCGTCAGTATTTTCCTAAGTAACTTACTTGAACGAAGACAACTAATTCTATGTTAAGATTTCACAAGATCGTAGTTGTAATGTTGTCTAATATATTGAGATGAAACAAAATAGTCGTGTCAGAATGACTAGAGAAACTCATATTCGATGTTTCTTAAAAGATTTTAGTACCTTGTAAAATGTTATTTTAACAATATAAAAAAGTCTTTCTCTTAATTCTGATGGTAGAATTATGATGTAGGACTTTCGAGAATACAATTATCTACATTTGATTCGTTCACTTTTATAATTTCAGTACTTAACTCAAAAAAAGAAATTATTGATCTCAGGAATAATAAAATCACCTTTGAAAGGTTATACAAAGAGAAGTATATAAAAAGATAAATGACATTTAGAATGAAATTTTATTACTTCATTAATACAGTTACAGTGTCCAATGATCTACGAGAAAAATAAAGCAATAAAATCTTTGAGATCTCGAATCATAAACTGAGAGAGAGAGAGAGAGAGAGATGAATAGCATTGAATGTAATGAACATGTCATCAGTTTAGAGATAAAGAGTATATTTTCCTTATATTGCATAATATTATACATTTATATTTTCTATTTGTTTACAGAAGAATTTCAATAAAACTCTCCCTTTATTTCTGTCATATTTCGCTGATTTTATTGAGAAAAAAAAATAATCTAAGAGCTTGTTACTCGATTCAAATCCTATAGAATCCTCGGACTGTGTTGTACTCGTAGTAGAAAACCTATAATAAAACTTTTAACTTGTCATCATCATGTTCATCAAAGAAGAATTTAAAAATCCTCTTTTAATAACTCTTGAACACGTAGGTAAACGATTATTGTTTATATATTATTCTCTGTCATTTTATGGAGTATGCTCGAATACAGAGCTTACTAAACTTATGTTTTTTCCCTTTCATCTTTGTTTTAGATAGTAAGAGTGATACGCCCACTATCGTAAAACTATCTCTCAAGAACAGATTTTTCAAGATTTTGGCGGCAACTGATTTCTCATTCTTAGTCTCTAATAATATAGAATACGTTTGAGAAAAGGAGTTTTCTTATGCTATGCATCCTAGCTTCCTTTTTAAAACATGAAAATAAAAATATTTATATGCAAGACTTAGAAAATCTCAAGTTGTGCAATAAGTTATGGTTGACATTTGCTTGATGAATATTCGTGACTCAAAATCGCATTTAAATCAACTTGAAATTTTTGACGAATATAACATATCACTGTCATTGTTTAAGATTCTTTACAAATTCGATAGAGTAAATCAATATAGTAATCTTTATTAATAAACTATTATAGAAAAAATATATAAACTTACCAAGTTCATTGACATCGACAAATGCTTTATGAATAACCTAGAATTTTATATTATAAAAAGATTTAGATTTTCTGATCTATAAATTTTTTAACCTTGCTAATATATAAACCAGTTCTATCATCTTGTTCACTGACCATACCAGTAAAATCTGCTTTGCTTCCATCAAATGCATTTATCATTCCAAGTTGTATAAGAACATCATTTAATTCAAATTTAGCTTCCATTTTAAATCTTGGCAAATATAAAAGAAGTTCTTTTTTTGTTGTATCTTCATCACTTAACACGCGTCTCATTAAATCTGGTTTTGATGCTAATTTTTGTTCAACTATATCTAATGAAATATCTCGTTTTGGTAAAATTACAGTAAAAACAAATCGAACGCCATGTTTATCACTTTCATATGGTAAATGAGCAATTTGTACATTTAAATCGTTATTTTCAGCATAACGAAATGTTTTTTTTTGATGCATTAATTTTATTTTTGATATTTTATCATTAGTTTCATGAAAGTCAGCATTTTGATCTGTTAAATGTTCTTTGAATTGTTCTACCCATGTACCCTATTATTTATTTAAATAAAGAAAAAAAAAAACGAAATCTTATTACTTTTATAAAAACTAATATTCACCTTAAAATAAATACAATTGACAATAATCAAACGTGTATCACGTGTTACATCATTTGACGAGAGTAAATTTTTAATTAAACTATTTGTTTGTTCTTCAACCCATCCATTGATTGTTTTAACAACATCTGCACTATCATTTACAAAATCTTCAAGTTTAATATCAGCTTTAAAAGAACTTTGAACAAGACTTAAATAATCTTGTCGAAGTTCATATGCTTTTTGTCCATAAAGACGATTAACTAATTTAAGTTTAACTTGTGTATCATTATTAACAGTAGAAAAAATACGCATTATTTGTTCAGCTGTTTTTGTTAACTGGTCTATTGATGATGCATCAAGAATACGTAACATTTGATTTAGCGTTTCATTTCGAGCACCAGTTGCACACATAGCCATAGCAAGGGCAATACTTGCTGATGAAAGAAATACATTTTCATTATTATTATTTCGACTAACAGTTAAATAAACTTTATGACCAAAATTTTCGAAATCTGCATCTGTTGATGATAATGTTGAAGTCATATATGTCTTTCGTGTGTATGAAGAAAAAAAAAGAATGAAAAAAAAGAGTGTTGTCGGTGTTTTTATACTCTATTTTTCAAGGCTATGTTTACTTTAGTCGTTTCTCTTTAACTCAGCATATAAATAGCAGAACAAGAAAATATACACGTCTTGTATGAATAACCGGATGAGTCAACAGTAAAGAAAAAAAAATGTCGGTTATTCGATAGATTTTTTTCTTCATTCATAAAATTATTGGTTAGATCATGGTAACTTGTGTCATATGATTCAGATTTATATCAAGAAATAAATTGCTTTTATATGGTAAAGTAATTTTCATCATTATCTTTTTTTCAATTCTGATTAATTCCTAGAGAGATAAATATGAACATATTGAGCTTCTTCTACAAATTATTATGTAAGACTCAATCAACAATGGTTTCTATTTTATGAAAGAATAAACTACTATATTTTAAAAAACATCTGAAAGTCTATTAGTTTTATTAATAGCCATTCATGTGAACATTCAGTTTACATTTATATTTATGTTAGCGAAAAAAAAATGATTTTGTTTACTTATTTATTTTTATATATTCAAAAGTTTTTTTTTCTTTGAAGACGATCAAATTGTTCATAATTCTTAAGCTATTTAATAAATGTGCTTGTATTTTATTTATAGTTTTTGATAATGACAATCATTAAGTATGATTATTATTTTTAATGATCATTAGTAAAAATAAATATACATAATTACGATTGAAAATAATGCTGGTCTAAGATTAAATAAATATATATTTAATCTTTCTACGTAATTCCATTCAATATTAGTCTTTGAATATTTAATTATTTTGATCTTTTCTTTTTCCGGAACTATACAGTATTTAAATGATATTATTATGGCCTGCAAGAAATAATCGAGTTTATGCATCTTCTCTAGTATAAAAAGAATAGTTATGAAAAGGATGGGAATAGATTTCCTAGCAAAATTGGCCCTACTTGAAAATGCTAACAGAACACCCACTAATTATATATGATGACGAAGGTAATTAAGTCCGCTAAATATCTAAACTACAGTTTTGCTCATAATAGCGATTTCTCTACTAAATTTACCATACATATCGTAGAGGGTATATAGGATGATATGAGATATAGCATACACAACAGCTCATGTTTGGTTGTATAACTTCGATCTCTATTATTTCAAGAGACCTCGTCACCATTTTTTCAGTATATATAGACCTTAATATATCCTTCAAAACTATCCGAACGTGCCCTTTCCCAAAGCTTGCTTTAAATGTCTTGGTAACATGACATTGGTTTCGATAGATCATTTCTATAGGGACTCGCAAGGCAAGTCACCTCGATCTCGACTATTGCAACACATACCACCTCCATCAGGGTGTGGGCGTGGATGTTGAAAGAACTGAAATACTCACACCCACACCCACACCCTAAAGATCATAGAATTTAAAGCAAAAATCCTCTGATGTCTTGATTTTATCTACTGTTTTGTTGAGTATTTTGGCTTGTATGAATCCAGACTTGATGAGATTTTTGAATCGTGGAGCAAATAGTTGATTGTGAGTAATAAAATGCATATTTATAAAATATTGACAAGCATTCAAGTTCATTTCTGTTTGATTAATATAAATGTAATCCTTGATTTTCTTGTGACAATATCGCCATGAACAAAATAAAGATAAATCTTGAGGTTGAATATGATCACTTGAACCTTTTGAAAAAATCAATAATTGACCATCAACTGATGTCATAGATTGCACTGTATATGAGTGGGTTATATTTTTCTTCTTCTTTTTAACAGCAACTTCTGTTGTTCTTTCGCCAGTAAAAGAAAGAGTTCGTGGAGAAATATATTCTTGTTGAAATGAACAATGATCACTGTTCGATATTAATGATCTTTGACTTTTAATCCAATTGTGAGCATCTAAAATATACGGATATCACAAATCGAGCAAATAGACCAGAATGTCAAGTAAAACTTGACATATCTTTCAAACAACATATTTTTCTGCTGGAAGAAACTCGTGTAATCGGTTTATTGTATCTTCTTGATGAAATTCGATTTTCTCTCTTGAACATCTTGATAAATGTTTCCCCTGCTTTGAAATTTTTCCAATTTAGCTTCCTTGCTTTTTGAATCGCAAAAAGTTCTAGATCACTATCATGAACTGCTTCTTTTTCAATTGCTCTTTTCAAATAAAATTCATTCCACATAAATTCTTTGATATTTTCTAGTTTTTCTAATCTTGTGCCATTCTTACTAATATATACTCTAAATTTTGGAATATAATTCATCGATTTGACTTTCCTAAACCTATTCGTAATTATTGATTTTCATCATAATCATTAGTATTCTCTTGTTGATCAGCTGATTCTTCTGCATCAGCGGTGTCCTCTTCATCCGTCGTTTCATTATATTTATCGTCAACATTGAGACTTTGATAAGTATACAGTTTATTAAAATAACTATCTTTAAATGATTTTAGAATTTTGAATAATTGTTGTGATGCAAAAGTTTCATCCTCATTTGCTGTTGAAGCTTCAAAGCCAAATTCCGATTGTGTTAAATAGAGAAGATGTTTCACAATGTTTACTAGATTCATATCTTCATTTGACAAGATCAATCTTTCTTAGTGTTAGTCGTAGTGGAAAATAAGCGAAAACGTTACTTTGAATGTACAGTTCATTAAGACTTACGAATACCAATCATAAAGGGATATAGGATAAATTATGAAGTAATGCGTTAATGCACTTAATTTTTTCATATCTTACCTATGGACACTTTTCAACACGCTACTTGATATTTGCTAATTCTGTACTATTAAACTTCAGAAGAAGTCGTATCTAGAGAAGTCTGAATATTATTAATAAGTTTCACCAAGATTTTGGAAGCTCACTGCCTGAAAAATTTGATGATTATACTAAAAAGTTAATGTGATTAGTTCATATACTATCATGTTTCTATATCCTAAATAATCCATAACTTAAAAATTGAATATCTCTGTCCAGCCACGCCAACAGCAGCTCATATTTTAAATTCATTAGTTTCTCAGTGAGAGTGTTCATTTGACCCAAACATGGTCAATCAATTTAACTCTTTCAATCTTGCACGCCATTTTACGAGATGACATGCATATCGTAAAATAGAAATTTCGCGTTCTGTCGTCTTCATACATGAATAGGTCTTGATACAACACAATTTTTGCAGTGGCTGGATATGGAAAATATTGATTGTACTTCATTATTTCATTTAATTCCAGCTTATTTTGAATATCAAATTAATATTTGTCTTGATTATGATAAAGTTGATTTTAAATTACAATTAATGAAGTTAGGTTCAACTCCTGATTGTATCATGTTTATTAATCAACAAACCACAAAATATGAAAATGATGATAAATAAGATGCTGTTTACTATGCACTTCAATATTGTTTACATCGATGTTTTCTTATATATGAAATACCACTTGATTCACCATGAACATCTATACCACTAAGCCAAATAGAAACATTTAATATTCAAGTAACCAATGAATTATTACCTGGAAATTTTCAACTCGTTAGAGTTAAGAATTATCATACAAATAAGATAAATATTAGTTTACGTGAAACTGGATTAATACAAGAGATAAACAATGTGAAGCTCTTATTTCATGCAACTCAAGTACACAAATTTGCTCATATTCTTTCTTACAGTCTCGATCTTACAGATGTTTATCTAAATTCAGACATTGGACCAGGTTTTCATGTGAACATATCGTTTCAAGATGCGAAAGATTGGTGTGAACGTCGGATTGTACTATATAGGGTGTGGGGTGTGGCTATTCTTTTAAACAATATCCGCACTCATCCACATCCTACTTAATTCGTATTTAATATACTTGGAAGTAGATTTTCTCACTGTCTTTGTTACATAGGAACCACGCCCATATCTAGACTTCACACCTCACACACCACATTCTTTAATATTTTTTATGTTCAATTAGGATATGTCTTTTTTATTTTCAAACTAACATTTTCTAAATAAATCTCGATATTTGAAATACTCTATTATACATTGAATTTTGATAAAATTTTTCAAATTCATATCATCGAACAACATTGTCGATTGTTCTTAAAATCAAATCGAATACATGAATCTACTATCGATAAGTTTGTATAATACAATGAGCTAAATAATGATTATTAAATATTGTGTAATTAGAAACGAAGATATGTATCAATAGTGCATAATAACCTCTTCTTTTGTTAAATAAACACTTTGAATTTTAGTTGAAATAATTGTATTTCAATAAATATATTTGATACGATCATCAACAATGAAGTTGATCAGCAAAACTATTGATTATTGATAATTTCACAATGATCTGAAATAGATTTTTGTTTTTCTAGCGACATATACTGATGTTCCTAGATGATGTTATTTCAACTAACTTTGTCATATGAAAATAGTTTAGTTTTTACAAACGATAGAATAGAACTTTATGAAATATTACACATATGAAAGTTGTGAAACATTGAATTCTGATATTAAAATAATTTCTAGATTTGTCATTTGTGGCTATTGAAAAAAGTCAAATAGATTCTATTAATATTTCATTTAAAAATAGGTTTTTAATATTATAATATCATCATTGTAAAAAGTTAAACAAAAAAAAAAAACTTTTTCGTTGAACAATTTATTAAAAAAAAATTTTATAATCAAATAATAAACAAGCAGAATTATCAAATGATTTGATTCGTTAAGCAAAACTATTATGCACAAAACACATAAATAGATTATCATGAAATAGAAGAATATTGTTTATTTATCTTGAATGTTCTTGATTTATAGCTACATTCAGTATAGTAAGTGGTAGTTCAGTTAAAACAAAATCACCTCCAATGCTAACATCAATAATACCTGATAATGAAAGACGAGCATTACCAGCCAATAGAGGCCCTAATAGAGCAACCATAGTACTTAATTTAGCTGAAAGTTTAACAGTGAAATAAGGAGT